TCTCATGTTTTTTAAAAAGGAAATGTGGAATAATCGTATTGTACATGTACATACGTATTTCTAACATTTAATACACATATTTTTTAGAAAATTTTCAATAAGACACGCAAAATTCACGTATTATACAAATAATTCTCACATACTATTGAATAAGAATAATATATGTTATAAAAAATTATATTACAATATTATATAATAGACAATTAATATCTACTTTGGATATGTTGAAACTAGCAAATTAATATGTATAAAGTATAAACTAATGCAATTAGGAGGGTCCTTTTTTCTTTATTTATTTTTATTAAATAGCTTAGTCGTGCGGCTATAACTCTTGAATATAATGCATTTAAATAGTACAGCCGGGCGGCTATACTACCATTTAAAAAAAAACTTTTTATGACACGTGGCGCTAGGTTCCCTTTAAAAATAAAATGAAAATAGTATAGCCGCACAACTAAACTCTGTGTTTTCTATTTTTTTTAAAAATAGCCTACGTTTGACACATGGCGACTAATCGGTGAGGGTCCTTTTTTATTAAAAATAGTCTAGCGGCACGGCTATACTTAGTTTGTTTAATATTTCAAGTATAGCCGGATGGCTATACTATTTTACATGTGGGCGCCAAAGGGCTGTGCGTCTGTCCTCTTTTTTTAATATAGTAAATAGTATAGCCGGTGGCTTTATTATTATTATTTTTATCAAAAAAATTGTCTTCAATATATATATAGGGATCATTTTTTTCTTTTAATTTTTTCCCCTATTTTCGTTTATCGATAAGAGTAGTTATCCGTTCCTATTAGGCCTATTGTCCCCATTTAATGTTTTACTTTTCCAGAGCTATTACCCGTACAAAGAATTTAGCACTTTCACCTTTAATAATCTATTATACACATACGTACGTATTTTTCAATAATACATTCGTGTTCTATACACGTCTCACGTTTTTAAAAAAGAAAATGTGGAATAGTCATATTGTACATGTACATACGTATTTCTAACCTTTAATACAAGTATTCTTTTTTATAAAATTTGCAGTAAGACACACAAAATTCATGTATTATACAAATAATTCTCACATACTATTGAATAAGAATAATATATGTTATAAAAAATTATATTACAATATTATATAGTAGACGATTAATATCTACTTTGGATATGTTGAAACTAGCAAATTAATATGTATAAAGTACAAACTAATGCAATTAGGAGGGTTATTTTTTCTTTATTTTTTAAAATTAAATAGCATAGCTGTGCAGCTTTACCGTTTGAATATAATGTATGTAACTAGTATATCCGGGCGGCTATACTACGATTTTTTTTATAAAAAAATAGTTATTGATACATGGTGCTTATTTTTGACACGTGGCCCTAGGGGGTCCATTTAAAAATAAAAATAAATAGTACAGCTGCACGACTATACTTCGTGTTTTCTATTTGTTTAAAAATAGACTAGGTTTGACACGTGGTGGTTATACGGTGGGGGGTCCTTTTTTTTATTAAAAATAGTTATACTGAGTTTTTTTAATTTTTCAAGTATAGCCGCACGGCTATAGTATTTTATAGGGTATAGTATTTTATACATGGGCGCCAAAGAGCTGTCCTTTTTTTTTAAAAATATATAGTAAATAGTATAGCCGTTCGTTCGATGAGACTCAATTTTTAAATGTTTTTAAAAATAGTATAGCTGGGGGGTTTTTACTGTTGTTTTCTTTTTTTCTTTTTAAATTGTCTTCAATATATATATATATAGGGATCCTTTTTTTCTTCTAATTTTTTTGCCTGATTTCGTGTATCGATAAGAGTTATTGCTTAGGGTTTTTATTACTAACCCCCATCCGGAATGGGATTCAAGCCCTTGCCATTGAAGAGGAGGAGCACTTGATCGTATATAACATAAAACTTTACACCTGAATTAATAAGTTATTGTAACTATCTGAGATTATTATGCATACGTGACCTTGGGATTTTGTTGTTCTGACATTCTCATCGTAAGTACTAGTGATCATCAATGTGAACGGTCCAACTGCCTTGCCTCCACAATCATGTATATGTCTGTAGATTCTAGCTTAGTTTTGTAATAAAATAATAGTGATCATCTACAAATAATTGGCGCTTAAGTTTTGTGTGTATGAATTGAAATCATCAATGGAAAAATCAACGATACTATAACCAACTAAGCTCTTGATTGAATTGTATTTCTTAGTCCTAATGTTGAAATCCAACCTTATAAATAGTAACGAAGAAGGAGAGTGCGTCAACACCAAATCTTCAAATTCATTATTTATCTTTATTCTTTGCAAATTTAGGTTTAGTGTAACTTAGGATATGAGTAGTTGTAATTTAGGGTCTGTTTGGTATCTTACTTAAAAAAATGAACTCAAAACTTATGAGTTTTTGTTAAAATATGAGTTTTTAAATACTGATTTTAGGATCTAAAAACTTGTTTGGTATTGAACTCTAAATTATTTTTAAGATCTAGAAAAAAATTGAAATTAAAATCAAAAAAATCAAAAACCCTAGTTCCTAAATTGAAATTATCAAAAGAAAAGGAGAGAGGAAGGAGAGAGAAAGAGATGGGAGAGAGAGGAGAGAAAAAGAGACAGGAGAGGGAGGAGAGAGATAGACGGGGGAGAGGGAAGAGAGAGAAAGAGACATGAGAGAGAGAGAGAGAGAGAGAGAGAGAGAGAGAGAGAGAGAGAGAGAGAGAGAAAAAAAAACTATAAAGAGTTTGGCTAATATTTTCATAAGATTTATTTTTAGGTAGAATATTTTTTAAATATATTGGCTATTGGTCTAGGTTTTACTATTATATTTTTGTTTTCTTAAGTTATCTAGTAATCTATGCTAAGAAAATACTCTTTATCTAAAAAAAAAAAAAAGTAAGGAAAAAAAAAAAAAAAGTCAGGCTCCCCAGCCCCTTTGAAACCTTTGAAACCCGGCCCAACCTAACTTAAAAAAAATTAAAAAAGCCCATAAAGCCCAGCCCGATGATGAACCCTATTTCCAATCACAAAGAAGACTTCAATTTATTTTTTTGGAGTCTGAGTCGGGTGTGTATTTTATTTTACCTGTTTTTAGTTGAAACCTATTTAAGCCACTTTTTAATCTCATTCGTTCATATTCATCCAACGGCTCACATGACCGTCAGCAACACTACATAGAATAGCGTGACGAAGAGTGTGAGGCCCAGGACAACGCCTTCATACCAAAAAAAATTGACACTCGTGACTCGTGAGCGTCTTTTTGTACTCTACTTTGATTTTGGCGTCTCCTTCTTCTCTTCTCCTCTCCGGCCCCGTTTGGTTCACAGAATGGATTTGAGGAGAAATTATTTCCCATGTCATTTCCCAAGGAATGAGAATGAAATATTCCTTTCCCATATTTGGTAATGCTGGGAAAAATAACCGGGAGATTTCACTTTGTTTCTTTTCCCATATTTGTTTTGAGTAGGAATGGAAAACAAAATTTGTATAATTTTCCAATTATACCCATATTAAATCAAATAAAAAAAGAATGCATTTAATGATACGTTGTAATTATAAATTGTTCATTGGGACAAAATAGTCATGAAAATTGTGCATTGAATGTTGGCTCATTTTCCCAAACTTTCCCATGAGGAGGGAAAACAAAACCCAAGTTAAGAGGAGGGCTTCACTTTCCCCCCTACTTTCTCATGTGCCAGGCAACCATTTCTCATGCCTGGACTTACCAAACATGGGAAAACAATTGAATTCCCATTCCCAAGCCTCCTTTCCCATGAACCAAACAAGGCCTCCTTGTTGAACGATTTGTGGCTTCGATTCTGCCGTAGGTACACTTCTATGGCTCCTCTTCCCTAGATAACTTTGATTTATTTTCTCTGGTGTTTGAGTGATTTTAGTGTTGATTTTGAGTTGAATTGGAACTTGATACATTTGGTGCTTATTTGTGATTTCGTTATCTGGGTTTTCTCTTATGAGCTTATTTGGGATTTTGTATTTTCACTGCAACAATATGATTATACTTCCAGTTGCTGAAAATTGAAAGGGTTTTATTTCTGTCTGGGCTGGCAATTGGTTTTGTTACTCAAACTAGCTTTAGTTATTGCTTGGAATGGAACACTTGGGGTTGGGGCCGATTCTATTGTTCAGCTTTGAATTTTTTTTAAATCTGGTTTCTTATGCTTTACAAAGAGCCAACTCAAAAAGTTAGTTAATGATAAATTCAGCCACACTTGCATTTTCAACTTAGTATGCTCTCTGTTCTAAACTCAGCAGTACGTTGCATTAGGTTATCTAAATCTTACTGCAATTGGGTCTTTTGGCTTAGTTTGATTGGTGTTTTTAATGTATTGAAGGAGATTCTATTTATTGGTTCCAATTCTAATCTATATTGCACGGATACAGATACGGGTTGGCCAGTACGATTCGCCGATATTGCAAAACTCAAAAAACTAGAATACGGGTATGGCACTGATGCGGCTATCAAAATAATATAGATAATAAAAACTGATATTGCATCTATCATGTTATAATCATCCATTATGTTTAAAACATAAAACTAAAAACCAGTGCAAAGGATCCACCAGTGTAATTGTGTAATGGTTTGGAGCAATTGCTCTTCTAGAAAAAGTCTTGGGTTCAAATCCTAGTATTTTTGTATTGTGTGTAAATTTAGCATGCTATAACCCCTTTAAATAGGAAAAATCTTCAAATAAATGCAACAATTAATACATGTAACCAAATTAAATGCATTTTGATAGCAAATACATTTTGATATAATCATCATCGTGTGAATCAAATGCATTTTGATAACAAAAAAAGAATCAAATAAATATAACCCAATACTAACAGCAGCTAGCTACAAAGGAAAAAAAACGGTTAGAGTTGATTGTGTGTAAGCCTACGTTTTAAAAGAAAATAATAAAGGTTTTACTGCTAAAAAACTTACAGCACGGGTTGAAAAAAGGTTTTGTTCCGTAAACGTTCCAACGTCAGTGAAATTGAAAAGCCCAAACAATGAGACGACGTCGTCTCAGTGAAAACCTAAAACAAACAAAGTCGTGCTCTCTTCGTCTTCCTCGTGCAGCAGAGCCTCACGGACGACGACGCTTCTTCATCTTCCTCACCGACGACGCCTCAGACTTCTCGCGGCAGCGCCGTTTCGGGACCGTATATCGGACGGTAAAACTTTAGGAAAAGTCCACGATACGCGTATAGCCGTATCAGATACGTATCACACGCGTATCGCCGTATCCAATACAAGCATACCCCTCAAGACTGCCGTATCGGTGCAACACAGGTTCAAATATTAGGCTTGTCCTTTTGTTTCTATGGTGTTCTGTTTCATCATCTATTATGCATAATTTCATAATGTGTATGCAGAATTTCATCATCTATTAGACATGCAAATATAAAAAGATTGCATTAACACAAAATTCCAACTGATTCATTTCATGCCCTAATATTCTCATCTGTTTTAGTTTGTCTGATTTTGAATGTTTTTGGATTTAATTGTGCTCTTTATTATGTCTTTCTTGAAATTAATCAACTTTGATTTCAATTTTTAGGGCAAACCCAATCCTATTTCACTCAGATAATTAAAATGAAGAAACCACGAAGCACAATCTGCACATCAAGAAAAATAAAGTTCGAAGAACCTGAATCTTCTTCTTCATCCGAAGATGTAAGTAATCAAAGAATTTATTTTATTTTATTTTATTGCTATTATAATTCTTATTGTTGTGAAGAAGAATCAATTTTTGCATTTGATTTTCATTCTTTTTTATATTTATAATAGGAAGAGGAGATAGAGCAGGAGCTTGCAGATGTGACATTTGGAGAACTGCAAAAGGCACGCTCAAACGGGTCACATTTAGTGCACCCAAAGCCCAAAGAAGAGAAGAAGGGTGGCCGGGTGAACAAGAACCGGTAATTTGAGCATGCATTAGATTGTTTCCCATTGGTTTTTGTTGGGTTTTTCGTAATGCAATTGAGGAGCTGAATATGTGTGCGTATGTTTGCTTTTGAAGGCCAATGGAGGTTAGTTGCAAGAAGCCCGTTACAAGATTTCGAGAGATCATTCAAGGTTCAAAAAAGGTGAGCTTTTGATATGAAGATGTTCTGCTTTGTGATTTTATGACTTAATTAAGATTCAACCTTATTTGCGGTACACCTTTCTGTTTTCCTATTGGGTTCCAAAGGTTTTCATGAGAAAATATTGATAACTTAAATAGTTTACTATGACAAAAATTGATGATAAATAACTGTAGCTTGTTTCTTGATGTGTGTTTTTATGTTTTTTCTATGACCTATTTGGAATCAAAACCTGGTGTGTTATTAAGCATGACATAGGAGGATTATGGTTTTTAGTATTTGATGTGGATTTTATTCTTAAGATTCATTTCTCCTAGAGAAGTTCTTTTTGTATCAAAGTTATGTTAAAGCGAGAAAGTGGATGAGCAAAGTTGTGAGTAGTCAATCTATGATTAGGCTAGTTATTTCCATACCTAGGCAATCATCTTATTAAGACAACTAATGGAGTGTTGGAGTAAAGCAGAAGGCTTACATGTACTTCGTTTAGTGTAAAGCTTGAACAATTCAATCAGTGTACTTTGGTTGAAATTATTTCTTGCTATGTTCAGGTGGTACGTGACCCACGTTTTGAATCTTTATGTGGAACACTGGATGTTGATGGGTAGGCTTCTCTCTCTCTCGCTCTCTCTCTCTCTCCCCCCATTTGTGGTGTGTGTATAGCTTACTTTATTTAGGCTTCTCTCTTTTTATGAAAGATGAGTTGCTACTTCTGGATTATCCGAAGTACCAAGCCAAAAATGAGTTGTAATTATTTTGGCTTCAACAAAATTTATGTTACATAGAAAATGAAAAGGATAACCTGCATTCAACAGGTTTAGGAAGAGATATGACTTTCTATTTGCAAACGAGCTTCCTGCCGAGAGAGAGGTAAAATTTCTTAAATATGTCATATGTCTTCAGTTTCATCTCTACATGTTTATCATTTTTCGCTGATTTTTGTGTTGCATATGACAGGAACTGCAGAAGCAAGTGAAGAAATCCAAGGACCCAGAAGTCATTGAAGAACTAAAGAAACACATATCTTGGATCGTAAGTGCTTGCCTTCAAAAATATATATTTGATAGATTCCCTCATTAATCTGTCCTTGCTATATATTCCTTTTAACTCTCTATTTTGCTTGAAAGAAAAATGAGAGAAACTGGCTATGTCACTATTCAGTTTTCTTCATTGTTGTGTCTTTTCAGGATAAACAGCTCAAATCTGAGTCAGCCAAGCGCACTGAAGCTGCAATACTGGCCGAGTACAAGCAAAAAGAGAGAGAAGCAGCAAAGCAAGGGAAACAACCCTTTTTTCTTAAGAAATGTAATACTCTCTTGCTCTCTCTCCATCTGTGTGTGCATGCGCATATGTGTTTTGTTTCAATAGTCTATATTTCTGGATGGTACTTGGCAGATGCAAGAAAAAGCAAAATATTTTAGATCTCTCAATTTTAGATTCACTATATGAGGAATTCTAGACCCCTTGACAAGTGAACCCCAGGATCTTATCATCTGATTATTCGAATCCCTTGTTTAACATTTTTAATTATATGCAGCTGAGATCCGAAAGAAACGACTTATGGAAAAGTATAAACAACTCAAGGTAAAAATTTTCATTTTGTCATGATGTTCAAAATACCTTGTTGGGACTAGTACTTAGTCATCTTGGCTTTGGCAACAAACGTAATTTTTTTAAATGATCAGGGATCTGGCAAGCTTGAAGCCTTCATTGAGAAAAGGCGCAGGAAGAATGCTGCAAAGGACCACAGATTCATGCCATACCGTAGGCCTGACAACACTGAGCAACAAATTTAATGACTTCACTTGGTTCTGGAGAAGCAGAGTAAATTTTCTTATTAGCTGAGTGGCATTGGGAGACTACTGGGTAGTGACATGGTGAGTTTGCTTGGAAAGCTGCAAATTTCAGTAAATTTTGAAGAAAAGCACCCAAAAGATTTTTTTTTTTTTTTTTTTTTTTTTTTTTTTTATTATTTAGTTGTGAAATTAATGTTGGGAGGGGTGGCCAAAGAGTAATTCCAATGAATCTTTTTATTATTCGGAGCTGCTATATTTGCTCACTATTTCATTCCTTCAAATGCAAATAGTAAAACTAATTTTTATTTATTTAAAATATATCAAATTAACTTTCACCCTCTCTCTTCCCCACCCAGCCAAGCCCAGAGCTTTGATCAAAGTAGGAGCCTTGATGCTGGTGGGAGAACTAGTATTAGTGGGCATACAAAGAGTTGTGCCAGAGGCCATTGGAGACCTGTTGAAGATTCAAAACTGAAAGAACTTGTGGCCCAATATGGTCCTCAAAACTAGAACCTAATAGCTGAGCATCTTGATGGCAGAGGGAAGCATCATCACTCTCGAAACCCAACAACCCATCACCATTTCATCTGCCAAATACAACACCATGCACGTAGCCAAAACCCATAACAGTTTCATCTCCTCACTCAGAATCAAATTTAAAGAATTGTTGAATAAAAATCAAATTTACAGATTGAATTTTTTTAGGAAAAAATTGATATGATAATCCTTAATCTCCAGAAAATAAAAATTCATTGTCTATAGAACTATCATCATCCCATCAACCTTCACGAAAAAACTGGTGTCACCCTTTGACGTCGTTGCAAACCCAACCCCCACAACGTCATCAGGCATTGTCACAAACCTTCGATTTACGAAACCTAGGTGGTTGGGTCTTTGCCAACCTTGACAACTGAGCGATGTTGTCCCAAACCCAGATGCCGAATATGCCATTATGTATCTGACGACGCGCAGATCTCCTCAAATCGCCGACCTCACCATCAGAATGAGGGGGTCCAGCTCTATTGGCTACATGTTGTATTGCCGACCTCACATAGAGAGAGAGAGAGAGAGAGAGAGAGACGAGGTGGCTAGGGCTTTGGTATTGGCTAGGGTTAGGAGGAGAGGACTAAGAGAGAAGGAGGTGGTTGGGCGGTGACATTATTTTTAATTATTTTAAATACAAATTTATAAATAAACCAAATTCTAGACATGTATTTATAAAAAAACTCAAGAACTATTTAAACATAGAAACACACCCAAAATCAACCCCAAAATCAACAATTGTATATTTTTTTGGGTGTGTTTATAAATGGGTTTTGAGTGTGTGTAATGATGGGTTTTGGGTGTTGGGTTTTTTTATAATTTCAGCCCCCATTTTGGGTGTTTTAGTGAAACTCCCTATTTTAAAATACAAGGAATTATTTATTACTGTTTTGCCCATATAAAGTCCACGTCATTAAAAAAAGGGATCTCATGTTTTATACATCAGTATTTAATAGACTTATTAATGGTTTGTTTAACAGAGTGGGTAAATTGTAAATTTTCCGAGAGTTCGAGTATGTATTTGTAAATGTCCCTAAAGGTGGGTATGAACTTGAAAATGACTTTGATGGGTCTTTTACCTTATAAATACAAACTTAAGAGTATGGTGGCCCTTAGAAAGACATAATTTTGACATATATATATATTATCAATCCCCTTCCATTGAGAGATTGTTCAAATAATTTTATTTGAAGGACACCCTTTAGGGTACTTTACGATTTTTGTTTTGTTTTTTTAAACGATCCAAACAGTTTATTTTTCAAGTCTCCATTCATATATCATCTTTACAAAAAATTAGACAAATTAGAAACCGTTTCGACATCTAATTGTATCCTACAAAATCAATGAACACGGTGCTTCAAGAAAGTATTAAAATTTCAATAATGTATTGATGACATTGTTTTATGTGTAAGGAGAATGACACATGTCATGAGAAAAAAGAGAGAAGGTTAGAGAGAAGGTTGCTAGAATTCCCCTTGGCTTAAAATACCACCCATGTTACAATGTCACTATTCAAAAAAGGTTTTTATTTTAAACCCAAAACACATAGTGGCTTTAGTGAAAAGCTAAGATCAGAAACCTCAATTAAAACTAATCCTAATTAAGAATGAATCTAAAATTTCCTATAAATTATAGGGTTTTCTGTTTGCAGGGAAATAATAAGGCGTGGAGCCATCAAACATGGAAATGATTGCTAGGAGAATAGTTAAGGAGTTAATATTCACTAGAGATGAATGATTCAAATTTTCAAAATGTGTGTGAGTTGATTTGTCATATGATCAGTGGCACCTAAATCTATGACCCAAAACTCATGCACTTTACTAACATTTAGAGCAGTAAAAAAAGCATTCAGGGTACCTGAGGTTTCTTTATAGGAGAAAGGTTTTGAGTTTCAACAAGAAATTCAGCAAATTTGCCAAGCAAGGCTGTTGAGTTCTTCTTTCCCACATTGTTTACTCCTTCACTGTCATTATTCCTTTTTGTTTTTTGAATATAAAAAGCAAATTTATTGATAAGATCAGCGGGATTGGAAGTGAAGCTTCGAAGTCCGTTGTCTGAAGATTGCATGATTAGCCTTAGAAATTGAAGTCTGAAATTTCTTCTGAGTGCCCTTGTTATCCTTGATAAACTTGAGAGGCTTCAATTCAAGGTGAAGGATCCAACGTCTCTTCTTCACATGACCAGTGTTGTTGCAATAACTGCACTTTAAATATGGCTTCCTTTATATACTTTCTCATCAGTGTGTTTGTGATTAGACAAATATGCTCTAGTTTAAGATATATTTGTCTTGGTTTCAATGTTCATTGAATTATAGCACAAACACTTGTAAAGAATGGCAGCTCAAAATTCATAAGACTGTGACTGTGAAGATCTTCATATGTTGAGTTGAGTTCTCCTTTCCCACATTGCTTACTCCTTCACTGTCATTACTCCCTCCTTTCCTTTTCAATTGCTCTCTGTTAGGAAAATCACAATCTCCCTAAAATGCCTTGCTGTATTCTCTCCTCATAATGTCATTTTTCAGGATATAGCCACCAAGAAGATGATTGGTGAAGGGTTAATCTTGATGGCCTCTTTTACCTGTCCAAGGATTTTCAAACTAGGAAGGGATTTCAAGTAAGTTCCAAGTTATTCCAGATCAAAGTTTGTGGCATCAACATTTATCTCACTTTTCAAAACCCGTTCTATCTGTTTTGTTTCCTAACCTAGTAAAACAACAGACCACATGTGACTCCTGTCAATTGTCTATGTCTGATAGGTTGTCTTTCAATTCCTCTATGTCTCGAGCTAATAAACCCTTTGAGATTGTACACTCTTGACATCTGGGGTCCAACCTTTGAATCTTAATTTTGATAGTTATAAATATTTTGTGACTTTTATCAATGATTTCTCAAGAATCACTTGGTTATATCTCTTAAAATTCAAAAGTGATGTATTGAATGTTTTCAAGGACTTCCATAATCTTGTTAGAAATCATTTTTCCACACAAATTCATACACTACGATAAGATAACGAAATTGAATATATGTCCAATCTCATGACACAATACTTAAGCACACACGGAATCATTCACCAAACAAGTTGTGTGGGTACACTGAATATATGTCCCATCTCATGAAACAATACTTGAGCACACATGGAATCATTCACCAAAGAAGTTGTGTGGGTACAGCTCAACAAAATGTGGTAGTCGAAAGGAAAAATTGTGATTCACTTGAGAAAACTAGAGCTCTAATGTTTCAAATGAACGTTCCAAAAAGATTTTGGTCTCAAGGAGTCCTCACTGCTACTTACCTTATTAACCATTTGCCTAGTAAAGTGTTGGATTTCAGATCACCCCTTGAAGTTATGAAGGGAAGAAAGATTGACCTATCTCATTTAAAGGTCTTTGGTTGCACCTGTTTCGCTCATATTCAGGCTTCTCATCAGGATAAGCTTGATCCAAGAGCTATCAAATGCATGTTCTTGGGATATTCTTCAACACAGAAGGGGTGTAAGTGTTATAACCATATCTCTAAGAAATTCATCGTATCAAGAGATGTTTGATTTGATGAAAAAACTCCTTATTACCACAAGACTAATGAAGCCATGATCCATTTTTTGATTTGTTTCAGTGCCTACTCCTGCTGCAAGTATTGACTCCAGTCATCCTATGCCTTCTATTGCTCATCCTTCATCTCATGAGCCTGAAATTAAAATTTAAAATGAACCTGTTGAAGACTCAAACAATTCTCTTAATCATCATAAGGACCAAAGCAATATAGAATCCTCTAATGCACCCTTGAGACGTAATCCTACGTGTGATCGTCATCCTCCTTCAAGGCTGCAAGATTATGTCACATACACTGTCAAGCATCCCATCACCAACTTTGTATCTTATCACAAGTTCTCACCACATCATGCTTCCTTACTCAGTGTTGTTTCTAGTGCTCATGATCCACAAAGCTTCTAGGATGCAAATCTTCAAGCAGTATGGAGAAAGGCAATGCAAGAAGAGTTGCAAGTTCTTGATGATAACAACACTTGGAGTGTTGTTAAGCTTCCTAAAGGAAAGAAGGTTGTTGGTAGTCAATGGATTTACAAAACCAAGTTTCACTCCGATGGATCTATTGAAAGATATAAAGCAAGATTGGTAGCTCGGGGCTTCACTCAAATGTATGGTGTGGACTATAAAGAGACTTTTGCTCCTGTTGCAAAAATGAACATATAGTTCGTGTGTTGTTGTCTATTGTATTCAATAAGGGGTGGCCTCTATAACAAATGGAGGTGAAAAATGCATTTTTGCACGAGGATCTTGAAAAAGAAGTCTTTATGAAGCTTCCACCTAGTCATCCTCAAATCAATAATTGTAAGCTACACAAATCTATTTATGGATTAAAACAATCCCCACGTGCATGGTATGCCAAGTTGAGTTCAGTTCTAGAGGTAGTTGGCTTCCAGAGTAGCAATGCAGATTCTTCTCTATTTGTTCGAAGTGGATCTGTTGGAAAATTGGTGGTCCTCATCTATGTTGATGATCTCATTGTCACGGTGAAAATGCTGATGAAATCAACAATCTGAAATGGAATTTGCAACAGAAGTTTTCAATCAAAGACCTAGGAGTCTTGAAGTACTTTCTTGGCATTGAAATGGCCACTTCACATGAAGGGTTATTTTTAAATCAACGCAATTATGTTCTTGATCTTCTTAAAGAGTCTAGCATGCTTGACTCCAAACCTGCTCATACTCCTTTAGACAACAAACTCAAGCTTGACATGGAAGGTGAACCCCTCAACAACATCAGCTATTATTAGAGGTTGATTGGTAAGCTTATCTACTTAATTATCACTAGACCAGACATGACATATGCAGTTGGCATTGTGAGTCAATTCATGCATTCTCCCACCATGTTACACTTGAATGTGGTTAAAAGAATCTTGTAGTGCCTTGAGAGGTTTGTTGGTCATGTTATACTCATGAGAAAGAATGATAATGTTCACATCCTTGGGTACACTGACGCTAATTAGGCAGGGAACTTCTTGGATCGAAATCAACCATATAGGATATTGCACCTTTGTAGGAGGAAACCTGGTCACTTGGAAGAGCAAGAAGTAGATCGAATTGGACTGGAAAATCCATATCTCACCTATATTGGATTGATTATGAATTGGCCAAATTGTATCGGTTTTGAATCGAGGACACCCCTAGAAGAAATTTTTAAAATGGGAGGGAGAGCGAGAGGGCATTATTACTCTTTTCCAAAAATTCTTAAATGAGATCAATTATGAGTAATGTCCTCATAAAACGGTTTGAAAGTGGATCCAAGGGTCCTATAAATAGGAAGATAGAAACCAAGAAAAACAATAAAATTTCAAATTCAAATATGTCATGGATTGTATATGCTGATATGGAAATAAGATCGAAGGACATGAGTCAATATTGGATCCTACACTAGAGATTAATTGAAATTATTCAATTATAAAATCCAATTTTCTCACTAGTAAAAAAAGGAAATCACTTTTTGTTTTTGTTTTTTGTTATTGAACCGATTGGCTTCTACGTAACAAGCGGTCCCTAATTAAGTATATGCCGAAGTTTTTTAGCCCTGCAGATTAAGATTCAAAAACAGAAGTTTTGTACCAGATTATCTAACTTCTTTTAGATATATATTTAGACCTCGGCATCCATATTGGTCAAAAATAGATCAATGACCACAGAATCGTAAAAACCACAATAACACACAAGAATAAGGGAGTTTCAAAGGCTTAGAGAGAGAGAGAGAGAGAGAGAGAGAGAGAGAGAGAGAGAGAGAGAGAGAGAGAGAGAGAGATCCCTTTAGGATGATGAGGAGGCCACATATATAGTTTTCATGTCCGATAAGGGAGCCCCAAAACTGGGTGCAAACACTATCAAACCAAAAACACAACGAAATATAGCAACAAGAGTTGTGGAACAAAATCAAATACATATACTGTGTTTGTTTTACACATAGTTGGGGTTTATTCTTGGCAGCAGCCACCCCTTTTACAATATAATAATGGTAACTGAATTAATGAAGGAAATTTGAATGAAGACAACATCTGCAAAAGGAGCAAGCATATTTACAAATACCCTATTATATTCCCAACAATATATAAACATTATATTTAGAACCTACTGCATATTCTTCACTTGTTCCCTTTCTTTTTCCCACCTTTTCCGAAACACTGCTGAGCATTTGGATTTGGGGAACCATTCTGAGAAGGCGGCTGCGGCGGAGGACCATTATTAGGATAAAGGGCTTGAGTGACGTTGGGATTCTGAGAAGACATATTGATGCTAGCTATCTTTTTTACTTTCTTTCTGGTTGTGCTTTTCGTTTGCCTTTTTGAAACCTTCAGTACAGTATTTATAACCCCAGCTAGTATCCTACCAGTTAGTTTCCACTCAATTACGAAGAAAGAAAGTAACAATTAAGATCCAAACAACTCAATTTATTTTTATGCTAAATTGGTTTCAGACTTTGCATTGCAGTTTAACAGAAGTGGTCTTCGTGCTAAATTGGTTTCAGGTTTGATCAAACCTTTGATTGTTGAATCGCATGCGGTTGCTTAGAGCAGTGGTTTACTCGTCGTGAACAACACATTCCTGGAAAATGAAAATAAAATTTTGACTGGGATTTTTTATATGATAATATTACTTGGAATTTGACGTTGGATTACATTTTCACTTCAAAGAGATAGAAATAGAAAGAAACCATCAAAGTTGCCGCACAATTTCTCATATTCTTCCAGGAAACAAGGGGTTTATCAGTCGATCAGATTCAGACCGACCCCTAACAAATCTGATCAAATCCACTTGAAGAGAAAATAAATAAGATGGAAAAATGAGAAAATATATTGAAGGTAACACCCGTATTTAATCTTAGACGAAACCCAGAACATTTTCCTCGCTGTGACAAACCAAGTTTACGTGTATATATATATATACAGAGAGCTTCCATTGAGGGATCCCTCAAATAAGCTTATTTGAGGGATACCCCTTGTAGGGCCCACTCCGGATTGTATTTCACTAATCCAAACCGTCTATTTTGTAGATACTCATTCAAAGATCATCTCTACAAAAAATCACTTGAATCCGATATCATTTGACCATTCAATTGAGTTATTGAAATTTTAGTACTTTCTTGAAGCACCGTGTTCATTGATTTTGTAGGACACAATTGGATGTCGAAACGGTTTCCGATTTGTCTAATTTTTTGTAAGGATGATCTATGAATGAAGACCTAAAAAATCAATGGTTTGGATCATTGGAAAAAAAATTGTAGGGTACCCTAAAAGGCGTCCCTCAAATAAAATTATTTGAGGGATCCCTCAATAGAAGGGGACTATATATATATATATATATATATATATATATATATATATGTCAACACGCTTTTACATTTGGAGACCTCTAATTAATTATGTAACTTCCACTTAAACTCATAGCAAATCCTCTTACAACCAGGAATGGGGCTGAAGGTTTGAATTTTAAGCACCACATCACCACATTCCAGTATTCCCCAATTAAAAAGATCGCAGTAATAAGCATCAATTTCTCATATTGTTTCCCAGAAACCATGGATTGATCGGCCGATCAGACTGACTATTAGGAAAGTAAACCTACATGAAAATTATGCACGTGGTCGTGACCTGAAAGAGCCGTGTGTCAAGTGAAGAAGAAAAAAGAAAATAAAATCAAGGATTAATATTTTCCAGCGGTGGGAAGTGAAATGAAAAGTGGGTTGGTTCAATTCAAGCCACGTTTATATATGGTCAACACGTTTAATGTTTTGAGACGGCTAATTTATTGTATCGTATGTAAGTTCCACTAAAGCTCATAGCAAAGTCCTCTTTAAGTTACGGCCATGAATGGGCATGGTGAGTTGAATTTTGAAGCCCCCAACCCTGCCCAAAATATGGTTACTTTCCTGGTGATTGTTTTTATTTTATTTTTTTATTTTAGCAATTACGAAGAAATCTAATATCAATATTAAAACAATCAAGTGCGCCTCCACTAAAAATGACCCAATAATCGGTTCTCACTCTAGTTTTTATCTTTCAATTCCCAATTATTATATTCTTCAATATTTATAATTTCAGCTTCACATGATTAATAGGTTATTTTCTTTCCACCACTTCTTTCTTGTATTTGTGGTAGTTAGAATTTAAGTTAAGCTATTAATGCATCCTTGGTTTTATATTACTAATATACAAATTTCTTTGATCCTTTGTAGTTAAATAATCTTTTTCACATAGGATGCTTAGAATTTGTCTTATGAAGGGAATGGGAATTTACATAAGAATCATTGAAATGCATGCTTAATTGATATATCTTGAGAAAGCAGTAGATTAATTTCTAGATTGCTATTCCATGGGAATTGTTTGATAATTAATTAGAGTTTTACAGAATAATGATGTGGAATCCAATACCTCAGTTTCTTTTCTAATTCATTTAAACCTTATTTTAGTTTCTTTGCATTTTTCAATTCTATGCTTTATTTCATTTTCTTTTCCCACACCTTTAATGTCATCCAAAAGACTGTCAAAAACGCTGACATGGTAGGATCATTATGATAAAAGCATACATGGTGGCCAATTGTTGAACATAGTCAACCTCCTATGTGGCAAAGTGGACCCCATATGTTTTTAAAATCAAAATCTAAGCTTCTCAGGTCGTAGATTGGCCAAAAGAAGAAGCTTCTCAGTTGAAATTTTTTGGGGATTAGGGTCTGGAGTGTATAATAGAAGAGAATGAATGATAAAGATTCGAAAATAAGGAGAATCACAATCTTGGGAGAAGCATGAATATTGAGAGATTGAAGAGGACAATAACGGTGCCTAGAGAGAAAGGAGGTTCTCAACCTGAGTACGGTAAATGTCAACCCTTCTCTTCTAACATGGAATCAATGAAAACGAGAGATTTATAGAATGTAGTCCAGGTTTAAGCTTCTTTATTGTCTGCTTGCTTTGTTGGGTTGGGTCCAAAGGCATTGAGTTTGAAAACTTTGGAATTAAAAATTGTTATGGTCCCCTATGTCTTGTTGTTATGTTTTCATGTTTACTAGTTGTTTAAAGGTTCTTTTAGTGCTCGATGTCTGTTTATTAGTAGTTTGGTGATTGTGTTGCCCTTTTTAAACAATACATATGACTAGGTAGTGGTTAAAATGTGTTTTTTATGTTGTGCAGATGACAAAGGAATAGTCACATTTGAAGTACACCATGGAGGTAGAATGGTAAAGTCCCGAAACATTAATGAGAGGTGGTTTTATGAGGGGGGGAGGGGGGGTCTATTGATTATTTAGATTGGTGTGGTCACTACATAAATTTGTTAGAGATATATGAGTACGCATAAGAGTTTGGCTACCATGACCAAATGGTTTTGACAGGGATACAAATGGTAAGAAAGTGTGTATAGATAGTGATGCTCATATACTTGAATGGTGTCATGTGGTGCCTCCAGTGATTGTAATTTACTTGGAACACCCAACTGTTATTAATGTGGATGAAACTACAACGACTTGGAAGGAGATGGAACCTATTGTAAGAAACCTGCTAAATTTGAATGTGAAGATGAGAGTGATGAACAATCTGGTCATGATGGTATGTATGAAGAGGATGAGGATGATGATGAGGCTATTGAAGAGGCCATAAACATAGCAATCCATATCTCTTGCTCTCACACACCCAATCTGATCTTCAACTTCTCACATTATCCTTAGCAACCAAGCCATCAGAGCTTCCTCACAGAAAGACATTTCAATATCAACCCAAAAAAAAAAAAAAAAAAAAAAAAAAACAACATTTTTTCCCCTCTGCATTCAAACAAAAGTTCCATCACATTCTCACAATTTATTGTCCAAATTTCGATAAAATAGCAAGTCCAAAACCTACCTTTGACTTTGGACACACAAAGAACGTCCAAAGTGGGATCGACTTTGTCCAAGAAGTCTGCATCCGAGCAAGTCTCCCACAGTAGCAATGAGGTGCATCAATGACCAGCTCTTCTCCTTGTGGAAGTTTGTGCCTCATCTTCACACCCTTTAATCGAAGAAAGATGGAGAAAGTTTTCTCTCAATATAGAACCTTCAATCCTCGAAACGGTGTTAAGTTTTTTTCATTGAAGAAGAAGATATCGGATTGTTAATTGAGGTCCATTGACTCATATATCAATTGGATCGAATTGAATATGGGATAAAAATGTGGTATAGAAATATGAGATAAAAATGTGGTAAGTGTAGCATTACTCATATATCAATTGGATCGAATTGAATTGGTTTTAAAAGTCAATATTTACAGAAGGGAAATTAATAACTATTTGTGGTTATTGCACTTCCGTATTTGTAATAACCTTATGTGGTTATTTGTGTTTGTACGCCTTTGTGCTTGAATTATAAATACAATATATCATGTTTATAAAAAATAAAAATAAAACCAGCTTTCATTTGAGGATATTAATCTGTGTGTTCAATTGCTGGCCAAAAAGAAAACTAGTGCATATTTAAGTTGGACCTATACTGGCATCAATTGATTTTCTTAATTAGTACTTTTGTTGAAACCGTAGGTCCTTTTTGGACATGCACACTTTTCAAGGGATGAGATCTTTGTACCCTTTTAATTAGGGGCCGCTTAGCTCGTTTCCCACGTCATGCCCATATATGTCGCTTTTTTTTTATTTTTAATAGGATGTTTGTGGATTCGAGCTGTATATAATAATGAGATTTATTACTGTTTATCCTAAATCATAGGCAACCACTTTTTAAGCGATGAGATCTTTGTTCCCTTTTTAAAATATTTTTTGAAAAGTAAGCTTTTTAAAAATATTTTTTTGACTTTTCTTCTCACTCTCTCTCTTTCCCCTTCTTCCTCTTCTTCCTCGTCTTTCTCTCTGCTTCTTCCTCTCTGCGTCTCTTTCATCTTCTTCTTCTCCATCCTCTCTCCTCTTCTTCAGAATACTTTTCTCTTTATTTTTTTCAAAAAAATTTATCTTCTTTTTCTCTCTTATTCCTCTTCATTTCTGTCTTCTCCTTTTTTTTTTGGTTGAAATTTTTCTGTTCTTCCTCTTCTATTATGTCTTCTCCTTCTCCTTTTATTTTTGTTTTTCAAAAATTTTCTTTTTTACCTCTTCTATTCTGTCTTCTTCTTCTCTCTTTTTTTTTTTTTTTTTTTTTTTTTTTTTTTTTTTTTTTTTTTCTTATCTCATCTTCTCTCTTCTATTTTGTCTTCTCCTTCTTGGGTGGTTGTGGCTGCCGCTTGGGGGGTCACTGGTTGTGAGGAGCATGGTGGGGTTGGTTATGAGGAGCTTGGGTCGGGACTGTTAGTCCCTTCTCTCCAAACGGGTTTCTCTAAGAATACCTAGGGAGGTGTTTTTGATGGGGCCCGTATTAGTTAATTCCACTTAAAATTAGAACCGGGTTAAATAAATGTGGGATAAAATCTTAGCCAAGCCAGTCCATACTTTCACGGTGTAACAAACACACCCTAAGAGTATAATTGAATTGAAATTAAAATGGGAAAGTCCATTAAGGATTGTATGCTAAGGGTTAGTTAAGACTTTAATCTCAGTCATAGGACTTGTAATCCCAGTTATTGCATTGATACATGGTAAATATTAAAAAAATATGAACTCACTAACATATCAAATGGGTGGTTGAGAGGAGAAGTCCTTAACTATTCTAAATATCATCTCAACAAAAAATTAATCAAATTGGAGATGCTTATATGTATGGAATAAATGGATGAGCTTTGCTAACAATTAAAATTCTCATGATGAACCGTACATTATTTAGTTGATACATTTGAATGACAAAACGATCAACAATTTAATTGATTTTTGGAGAATTGATATTTATGTTGGTGATTTTGAAAAAATTAACGGTTCTGATTATGACAATTGTACCACTTATATGGCCCACTACTGTGCATATATTTATCATATAATTAATTTTTCAAACAAAGAGATAGAAATAGAAAGAAACCGTCAAAGTGTTTGCACAATTTCTCATATTGTTCCAGGAAACAAGAGATTTATCACTCGATCGGATTCAGACCGACCCCTAGATTTTGATCAAATCCACCAGAAAACGACGTACGTGTGTGTGAGTTGATCTCTGAAGAGAAAATAAATTAGATGGAAAAATAAGAAAACATATTGAAGGTTAATTACATGTATACAATGGCAGTTTCAGGATTTGAACCCAAGCGGGCAAAATTTATATAATAAAATTGACTAAACGAGTAAATTTAATTAATAAACATAAAAAGATTACATAGTGAGGGGAGACGTAATAGGCCTTACTGTCAAATGCATTTATATCTACAAATACAAAAACTAAAATAAAAAAATAGAAAAAAAATTATTTCACATTAAAAAGAAAGATAAAATAGGGGACTACATTATTTTAAAAAAAACCAGGTTTATATCGAGAGAAATGGGAAGGAAGAAAATTGGCGGCAAGTTTTTTCTCCTCTTCTTTCTCTTTTATATAATGTCTATTATGACATTCGTTTTTTACTTTCAACCTCGAGCTCCATATAGCCTTATCAATCATGTTCCGTAATTTTTGAAATAGCTATCTTTGTGTGAGACAAATTTTTTTATTATAATCATAAGTAGTGTAGGTAATATTTTTCTAACAAAAAGAGAGAAGGAAAAGGAAGAAATAAGAAAGGGAGAGAAGAGAGAAGATAGAAGGAAAAGAAAGGAAAAAAAAAAAGAGGGAGAGAAGAGAGAAGTAAAAGAACGAAAAAAGAGAGATAGAGAGGAGAGAAGGAAAAGAATAAAAAAGGAGAGATGAGAGAGGACAATGTAAGTAATATTTTTTTAACAAAAATTTGGGCTAGGCAAAATAGGAGAGAAGAGAGAGGAGAGAGAAGAGTGTGGGTAATATTTTTTTAACACAAATTTCGGCCGGACATGAGCCCAGCCTGTCAAAGGGTAGAACCGCCAACACGCTTTTACATTTGGAGACCTCTAATTAACTATGTAACTTCCACATAAACTCATACCAAATTCTCTTGCAGCCAGGCAGAGGGTCAAAGGGTAGAACCGCCAACACGCTTTTACATTACATTTTCATTTCGATCTTTTTTCCCCTTCCCTTCTCAGCTTCTCTATGTGATTATTAAGAAAATGAACACAAATGCTTACACGTGTACAAACGAAGAAAACGCTTCCCCTTCCCTTCTCAGCTTCTCATAGATCGAAACCCTCATAAATAGAGAATTGAATAAACTTTGAAAATGCTTTTTTGTTTTTGGTGGAACCTATGAAAATGCTTAAAAACCAAGAAAACGTCAAGGCCGACCAACAAATAATCTTCCCAGAAACACGATATAAGCAGTTGGCGTGCATGCATGCAGTCAAGTCATTTTCGTTGTATTTTCTAAGAAGATATTTAAGACAGCCATCACGTATGTGGGGAGTAATTAATTTGAATTATCACGTGCATGACTGTATATTCAATCTTTGAATATTTAAGAATCAATCCCTTGTGCTAATAGCTTTCCTATAACTGGAAATTCTCCTTGACCCTCTGCCAGGCCTTTTTTTTATTTATAAATTTAATTAATTAATTAATATTTTTTATTTTTTATTATTTTATAAACAAGGCCTTGCATTAATATGTGTGAGTTAGCTTCCGCATGACGCGTACCTTTTTGCATATATTTGGTTTTGTTGCCACTCTCACAATTTGTCAAAGAACCCTATAAATACGTACCGGTACCTTGCCAGGCTTTTTCTTTTTAGTCATAGAAACGTGTACCTTTTTGGTACTTATCAGTTTTGTGGGTTATTAGTACTACCGTGTTCGTTAATTACTAGGGTTATTAGGTCTATTAGTCTTTGAATTTTGACCCAATTCGCATTTTGATTCGAATTGGGTTAAAATTTAGGGACTAATAGACCTAATAACCCTAATTACTAAGGTGTCAAATTCAAAAATTATGCACATTGAAAAATACTAAAAAATTACATACATATGAAATCCTTTTTGGTAGTTGAAGTCATAGAAAAGAATTAATCTAAGCCATTTTTTCAAGGCGTACTAATAGAGGTATGGGAGCATTTTTTTTCACCACATTAACTAAATGTGTATGTTCAACACCACCCTTAAAGGGTGACGCCTATCAAATAGTTAACCTTAGTTAACTTTATGTGAGAATAAATAAATAAATTTGATAAATGACCCACATCACAGCATAATCCCTCTTTTTCCTCCTTTCTCAAAAAATCAATGCATCCGAGAGACCATTTGGTAGGATATATAGAAAAAAGAATAAGAAATAAACAAATTGGGTTGCTTGGGGGGTTTAATTAGGTTACTTTCGTGGTACTCGTATGGAAACTATATGGCTAGGATATTTGGGTGGTAATATTACCCCTCCCCCTTGCTATAAATACATACACATCAAAGGGCAGAAATGAAATGTGTAACCAAAATCCTTTTAGCTTGTTGCATAAGATTTACTAATCAGAAACTAGCTAGCATCGAAAATGTCTTCTAAACAAGATGTCACTTCGGCCCTTTGGCCTAGCACGAATGATCATCCTGGTTCGTCATCTCAGCCGCCTCCTCAGAATGATAATGGTGGAAGTTCGCAAGATGTCACTTCGGCCCTTTGGCCTAGCACGAATAATCATCGTGGTTCATTGTCTCAGCCACCTCCTCAGAATGATAATGGTGGACGTTCGTCGGTTCAGCCAAATGCTCAGAGTGTTTTCGGAAGATAGAAGAAGAAAACTGGAAAAAAGAAAGGGAACTAGTGAAGGGTTATGCAGTAGGTCTTAATATATATAAATAAGCTCCTTTGCAGATTTATATTTACAAACTTCAAAGATCTTTGTACAAAATAGATACAAGCTTCTTTTGAGGGGCACATATTTGTTTAATTTCAGTTGTATAACAAAAATACATGCATTATTTGATTTTGTTCCACAAGTTGGGATGTTGCTATATATAATTCATTATATTTAAGAACTACTAATCCATGTCTTTTTTGGTTTGATTGTGTTTAATTATACCATATTT